TATATATATAAGGATAACTTTAAGATATTAATATATAAATTTCATGTACAGAGTATGGAACACGTATGTGGAACATATTAGATAATTAATTTCTACGTGAAAATACTAATTCTAAAAAATTCTAAACAAATTCATATGTAATTTTTCAGATATAAACATTTTATTTATTAATATCAATACAGATACACTGAATAGTTTATAATAATAACCTTAGTCCATTTATATATGTCATTTTATTTTATTCTATATGTATATAAAAATATAGCCATATTATATTTGGAAATAAACAAAATTATAAAGATTTATATCAAGGTTTCTTGTGTGAATATGAATAATTCAATTAATTTTTTGCCTATATTTCTGAGCAAGTATGTAAGTACAAGTTGTTATAAAATGCATGCATTAATAGTATATTGTTGTCATGCATCAATAATATATTTTATTTACATTTTCGTGCATATAGTATACTATATTATATATTATATATGATATTTCATATACTGTTAAGCATATATGAAAAGCAGCTCTTGATCTATCTCATAACTAATGGAACAAAAATTTATTCGACAGATTTTGTGGGAAACAAATATTTCAAAAAATTTGAAACAAAACATCGATATACTTTACTTCAATACAGTCTATGCGCTATGTTCGCCTTCAATGTCATCAGCTATTCGTAAAATTATGGAATTAGAGATAATTCATTTCTTGTCATTTTCTATAATTTTTCATGGTAATTTATACATTATTGCATATATGAAATGATGCGACTCTCTTATATAATACTATTCTAAACATTTTTTAAAGAATGAATATCACATGTAGAAGCGGTATTATAACACATACATACACATGCATATACAATATACCCATATGCGCAGATATACACACGCATACAATTTTTCGATAATTTAATCACTAGTTCTTATCCTTTTTTTAATTAAAAAAATACTGGCATATATATATATATATATAATATGAAAGCCTCAATTAAACAGTGTTAAATCAAGCATGCACGTAAAACCGAATAAGAATTAAATAAAACCAAAGATCGAAATTATTAGAGCTATTGTGAAAATCTCGTGTGATTAATGTATCATGTCATATGATTATATCATGAGTTTATTTTCTATGACAAAAATTATTCGTACATGTGTGGATATATTTACACTTACATACTAGTCATAATAATTGTAAATTATTTGTATTTATTTTTCATCTCTATCAATTGTAGAGATATATTTTTTATTTATCATTCAACATTAAAGTAATAATAATATAAATTTTATGTGTATGTATATATATATATAATGTATATATGTTTTAATTATTTACAAAAAGTTTCTTATTATTTTTAAATATCGCTAATAATTGTAATCATAAAATTCTAAGAATAATAGTACTTATACTGCTTTTCACACATTAAATCAGTAAACATTTAATATCGTCTAATCCATAAAAATTCTTTAAAAATTTTGCACACAGAGCGTTCTTCCTACTTCCCTCTGCCAACTTACCATCTCCCATGTATATATGTATATGAACCACATTTAGCGAACAAGAAAACGTTCTTACAAAAATGACTTTGACTGCGGCCGCCTGCGGTTCACAGTTTAACAGTTAACATTGTTAAATCATTATGTTAATAGATAATATCGATGATTCGATGTCTACTGAGAAATATATATTGACTGCATTTAGAAAACACAATTGAATAATTGTCTTTTGAAAAATGATTGCTATATTCATAGGCAGGTACTGTTTATGCGTAATAATTTGTATTTAACAGTTGCAAGACTATTACGTTTTTTGAATATAATTATTGTTTTTCATATAAAATTGTGTTAATGAAGTTAATTATTAATATAATATTTTAAAACGTTCAGAAAAAACAAATTTAATTTTTTGCTGCACTAATAATAAGATATATTTATAATCGTTGTAAATTCGTAAGCCAAAAAAGATACTATTGTATCGTTGCAAAAGTAAACATCTTCCGTCTTACTTATCATGAGGCATTTTGATAAGAACTGTTCTAGTACCTTCAGCATCGGAAATATTAATCTTGAGCTCGTTAGTAATAGTTTCGAGTTTATCCATTTTTACTGTCTTCTGTCCGCCTGGATTTGGCGGTGGCCATATATCATCCAATGGTGGTTCGATATATTGTTTCTTCGTCTTTGAGATGGCAAGATCTGATTTTAAACCAAGCGTACCTCCCACATGATTTATAGAAGAGACATATTTAGGAGTAGTTTCGCTGTCAATACGAGGACGTTTATAGAGAGGCATTTGTATTACTGGGCTGTAATCGTGATCTAGAAGACCCTCGACCTCCTGCAACAACTCTTCACCATATTGCTGTAATTCTTCATCCATTAGCTGCTTCGTATATAATAAAGTTCTCGAGCGACCTAAAATAAAAATGATTGTTTACAAAAGTAGCGATTATGATTATTATGACACAGCTTACGTTATTATTCCATCATTAACTATATACATGCAGTAAGAAAGTATTCATTAAGTACTTTAAATTTATTCTACAATATATCGTACAAGAGCACGAACAATTGCTTTTATGTCAATGTGTTAAAATCAAAACTTTATAATTTTGAAAGATTATTAGATATATTCTCTCGCATGCTATTATTCACAGATATATCAGCATTTTGAATATAGATTCCTAAATGGAAAACTTGGTCTGTACTGAAAGCAGCTATTTCCATATAAAAAAACTGTATAGCACTATCTATATTATATATTGAACATTTAGTGAAAAGTATAGAAAAATGCCGATTAGTAATGTCATAAAAAATGCAAAATATGAACACTTTTGAATGTATAACTTATCACTAAAAATTCAAAAAATTTATAAAATATTTTTATGAAATAAACAAAAAACTTAAATATTTAATATAAACATTTAAAATCGAATATACATATCTTTCCTTTTTTTATGTAAAGTATCCGAAAACAGATTGAAGAGTGTTGATAATATTTTTTATAATCAATTTTCATTGATAATAAATAAAGAATATGCTTAGTTTTTGGTTATTATTCATTATATTTATTCTTCATTTAAAAGTCGATTTATTTTAACAGGGATGTCTACATAAATTATACGAAAAAAAGTCTGAATAATAAATGAATCAGTGAAAGGATCAGCGTTTCCCTGTTCCCCTTTAGAAAGTAGTAAGACAACTTCTTAATGATCCCATAAGCCTGTTACAATTTTCACTGTCCTCACATGTGTATACAGATTTTTTATTATTAATTTTGAACAAGACGTTCAAAAGATTATAATTTTTGGAGTTTGAAATAGGCACTTTTTTAAATCAAATTTTCGCTTTCTTTCTGAATTTCTTCTTTTGGTTATTGTATTTCTTTATTTTATGCCAATTTTTACTGCGTATCATTAAAATCAATTTTTTGTGAATTATAGAAAATAAAATATCGCTTTCATATCTGTTAAAGAACTCGTATACTTGAACGGTTTCTAGCCAAATTTAATCAGCCAATAAAATATCACATGCGTTGATGCAATGTGCAACTGTGATGAAATTCAAGAATATTTATTTGTCAAATAGAATTTGCTACGCATGCAGTTCGATGCTACAAAATATTCTATGATAAAATGAAATAAACACGTAAAAGTTTTTTTCAAACAATAATAGTAATGTGTAGTAAACTTTATATATATATATTCAGTCCATTTTAAAACGTCGAACAAGTAATAGTACTTTATTGTATCAGTGACATATTCTTGATTTCAATTTTAATAACTGTTCTATATAAATTATCAATATAATAGGATGGTTATATATTGACGAAATCTTGGATCGGTTTGTCTTTTATAATGGATTGTGGACTGAGCTGATTCTTGATAAATACCGACGAACTGATTACACACAATTTTTACAATTATGGACTCTTCAATCTTCAGACTGGACATCTCTATAGATCCGTAACATTTTAACGTAGAAATTAAGTATATAGGATTAGCTTAGAGCGATAATTTTTATTATATATTATAAATACGTTAGTTGACATTGTTAGGGGTTATATAAATACGTTTTTCGTTAATCACTGATGAAGACTTTGTAAGTCGAAACGTTTAAGATTTTCAGCGGTATACGTATTTGAATATAATGTGAATTTTATTAATTAACTAACATTGCTTGTTTATAATAAAAGCCTTGACATTTCAATTAATTGCGTAGCATTTACATTTACAGCCTATTTCTCTTGATATATATATGTATATATACACTTTATATATTATATCTTTATAGATATGTCTATGTATATGCAAATTATACAATTTTATTTGCATTAAATATTTTTAAATTCACTAATATTTTAGTTTAATATTGAAAAAAAATCTTGAATTACAGTTAATTTCATTTTCCATGCTGAATGTTACGTAAAATTTTACAGATATTCTTATCAATAACTCCGATATCATTATTGACATTTAATCTGTTTTTTAACTGTGTAAATAATGAATATCAAAGATAAGCATTAAAAAGTTTTAAATCATCTAACAAAAAATATTTGCGAATGTCGATACTCCTCAAGTTTGCATTGAATTTCATATATAAATATGATACGTTATATATAGAACATACCTGGGAGTGATGTTTTCTCTGGTTGTTCCTGTTCTTGTGTCAAATCGTTATTATTATTGTTGGAATGTGGTCGCAAGTTCGGTAAAGCGACAAGAGCTAACGAAAGCAACAAGACCATCAGACAAGTTGCCGGTTGGGCGCTCTTGTTGCCCTTTTGTATGAGCGCTTGTAGTCTCTTTAATTGGCCGGCCAAGCTTTGATTTTGCGACTGTAAAGCTTTTATTCGTTTCAGCAAAGTTATATTCTCTTCTGTACACTGTTTGACGCGATCTTCCAAGCCGTCCACGTATTCCTTTTTCCTCTTGCGAGAATCCTGCGCAGATATTTTATTACGAATCTTGCGTCTGATTCTCTTTAATTCACGTTCTTCGTGCTTTGTCAATGGATAATGACTAGGCAATGTAATGCCTTCTTTTTGCAATAATCGCTTTTCTTCTGCATTTAACTTTAATCGTGGATAAGTCGAGTCAGTTTCTGATGTTACTTCATCACTGGAATTACAACCTTTATCACTGCTAGAATCCTCTTGTTTGATAGTCATCTAATTATAACACAAAAAAGGTCATTTTTAAAAACATTAATATGTATCATTATTACAAATATAACGTCGATATATTATAAATATAATTATGTGTTTTAATAAATATATTATAATTACGTAATTCAATAGATACCTACATAAATCAAGATTCCTTGATTAAAAAGTTTTTTTTTAGATATTACATTGCATATATCACATACCTGAATAGGTTTATTGATTATGTTTGCTTGATTGATCTTGAAGCCTTTCAAGTTTTTCGCTTGTGTTGTCATGATTTTAATAGTTCGGACTTCCTTCATGTCTTTCAAACTCACTGGCAATAGGATAGATCGCGGATTACCGGAACCCATTGGAGTGACGCGTATCAATTGTCGAATATTTCGTTTTCCATTACACGTTAAATTGCGAATATTTACGGCGTTCTCTTGTGGTGTAAGTTGAACTTGTTGTTTAGTTGTTGAATCTGTACAACATAAGAATCAACATATATATTTTATCTTTTCATACAATTACAAAACAAACTTTCATGTAGAGATATTAAAGAAAAAAATTAAGTACTTTTAAAATTTAGAATTATAAAAAATGATTCTTTTTAAAATTGAGAAACTTCAAATCAATGGCAGGTTTATGTCAAACCGATAACATGTCTTAAACATACTTCGTAATTTATGTGAGATCTGAATATGTTATTAAAGCTAAAATTATATAGCGATTAGCCAAAATAATGATATGTTATTCAATGACATTGCCCGATCCTTACGTTTAATATATCATACTGTTACATGTCATAGATACTTATACGTTTCCTTGAATGCGATAAGATCTTACCGATATTAACAACCGGTTGTTCGGTAGCAACAGTAGTGCTCAAACTTGGCATAGTATTGTTTGGCGTTACAATAGCAACTAAAGATGGCTCGTAATCCATCTCTTCGGCCACATCGGTAATTGGTGAACCGATATTCGAGCTCACGACAGATTTGACAGAACTATCTATGCTGCCTAAAGACGGACTAACCGCAGCTTCAAAGTCCATAAATTCTTGCGGACTTTTTAAGTCAGAATTACCGATATCTTCTTCCTCATTATTGTCCGTTCTCGACAAATACGGACTCAATTGCTGTTCATAAGAAAGACTTAGCGCACTGGAGAGTCCACTGTCCGACGAGGAGGATGCGACTGTTTCCATATCCTTCCCAATCAAATTGAAACCAAGTGGATCCTCCTCCATCTTCAAGATCGAGGCAAACAGGTCATCATCGGAATTCATGGGGCATTCTTCTGTCTGGAATATTACATAAACATCGTTTGTACCTAATATGTAATCTTTCAATAATAGATAATTTTATATATATATACTATATTAGAGCACATTTACGCATAAATTCGACAAGTCATTAAACCGTTAAATCACGCGTGCGTCTTTTTACGTATCATTAATATACGCTTAAGATAAATCAGAAAAGGAGGAAAATAAATAACAGAAACTTTTTGGCTTACGTAATCGAAATCAATACAACATGTTTCATTTCGTTTACAGAATTCTCGTATTCTTTTTAAATATTGGTAGGAACGCAGGGCACAAGATATCAGGCTTATCATATGTATATTTTTCAGAGGAGCAAAATGGTTCTCTTCTTATCAAATTTCAATGTAATAAAGCAGTGGCTGCAAGGAATTACATATTTCGGGCCGATTCCGATGCGCGACCACCACCACCGCACGGCCGAGCCGCCGGGCGG